GTGAAGTGTTGGGGTGGAGAGATCTCTTATAAGCCTTGATAACCTAGTTTCTTACTCATTGACCATGTGATAGGGCCATTCGTCCTGACTGACCGTAATTGCCTTAACTGTCCCGCCTCCCTTTGTTTGCACTCCAGTTCCACAATTCCTCTCCCCTCCCCTCCTTGTCCATCTTCTCCTTCCTGGTGTTGTTGCCATTGGTTTACCTTCTAGCCACTCCCCCGCACTCACTTTGGGCCACGGGTCAGGATCCAGTATCCCAGGTGCCCTTTCGCTGCTGTTCCCCTCTCTTCCATTCCATTTATCTACCTGTTGCTCCTATCTTTCACTGTTTGTCATCATGAGTCGTATTTTCCCCAGTTTCCCCTCACGTCTGAGTGTGTGTGCATGCAGCCCTGCCCCGCCCTTCCATCCCATCTGTCTGTAATCAGCTGGGCTGACTGTCGGCTCGCTCCTGGATACACTCCCTCTCATCCTTGCCAATCCTATCCTTGCATCTGCCGGCTGTCTCCCTGTGGTCATTCTGGGCTGGGTGCTCAGAATTGGCACTGTTAGTGCTTCTCCACTGTTGCCCCCCTCTCTTTTTTACCCTGCTGATCCATCCACTGTTCTTGCCTTCCACTATCTGTCCTTCTGGGCCTACTTTTCTCTGATCTTTCTCCGTGCTTAGGTGTGCGCACACACAACCGCACCCTATCCTCCTGCCTTATCTGCCTGTGTTCAACTAGGCTGCCTGCAGTAATGCCTTGGGGAAGGGTAAGAATGAAGGATAAATTGTATATTCTGGGAGTAATTCCACAAAAGAGGCTGAAAAATGGCTTACTGTATATGCTTGTATAAGGAAGCTTAATACTTAATATGAATTACATGGTTATCCATGTTTAACTGTGGTTTCCTCAATTAACTTTGTTTTATGGCTTGGCTAAACATACTGAATATGTGTGGGTGGGTTCATAGTGGACTGGGTTCACACAGCATGCTGTGCTAAAATATGATCTGACATTTTGCTTCAGTGCATTCTTTGAACATAGGCATAAAACCTCAATATTTTTGGAGTTCCAAATTGTATTGGCATTTTATATAAAAGCTTTAAATGAAAAAACGCCTTACTGAAGACATGTATTTATTCCGAAGCAGTTGTTATGTTTGTAGCTGAAGCAATTTTAATTTGACATTTAGTACTATTACCAAGGACATTACAACTGACTCATTTCTAAAAGGCCCTGCAAATAAGACCTGTGGTTTTGATCAACGCAGTAAGGAGCTTTAATTGCAACAGCTTGTCTTCTTTGATAAATTAGGCACATCAAACATTGGAAAACGACTTGAATGCTCATTCTCTGAAAGTATATGATGAGTTTTAGAAGAAAATATTAACAGCTCTCTGAAAAAGGATTTAGCTTTGAAAAATGTTATAAAGGGGAAAAAAACAAGTGTTCTTTGAAAGGTTGCCTTAAAACACAGAAAACAAAAAAGGTGCATTACTATCTAGTTTTCCTTCTTAACTTGTGCCAATATATTAGAGAAGTTCTCAACTTTATCCATTCTTTAGATTCTTCATAATTCAATGCACATTTTTATCAATATTCACTTTGCCATCTATGATTTCTAGGCTACTTGGTTAAATGGTTATATGATTTAGGAGAAAAAAGCTGTTATTTGTATATCTATACTGTGAAAGATAGGACCTTTATACATACCCATTGCTTACTTCATCTCTGAAATGCAAGAGACCACATTTTCCCGTGCAGATTCGCTTTTCTTTGTCATAAGATTGTATGGGAGCTAATATAATAAAAAGAAGTAAGATTTTTCTTTATAACCTAAGAAAGTAAAGTAAGATAAATTCTGCTTCACAGACTGCCATCGAGAAAGCATTTGTACATGGAAGTAAAAAAAATGACACGTATATTTTCCTTCATTCGCGAAATAAACAATTGTAGAGTGAATTTTCACTCTACAAAAAAGACATTCAGAACATGTGAAAATACAAACATGGCACCTATCTGCAACACTTTCAAGCACTTATGCCTTTCTTGGGCATCGTAGACCAACAGTGTAATCCCACCCAAGTGCTGGCCAGGTCTTGCCTCTAGTCTAGTCAAGGTTGCCTAGTGTTGTCACAGGCTGTACCTATCATACGGCTTGTATTACCATTATTTCTTGAGGAGGTAATTATCTACCTTTATCCATATTGTCCATGTTCTCTGTATGTTGCTATAGCACTGTATGAAAGTAGGACAGGGAACAATTGACTGTGATTATGTCAAGGGTGAACGTTATCTTCTGCAAATTGTGTATCCTTTTTGGGTAATTATGTAAAAAAAAATAGTTTATAGAGTTGCAGGCTGGCACTATGATATATGTGCACATGCTCCAAAACACATCAGAAAAGTGAATCTAAGTGCTGTACTGCTGTAGAATCTACTTTCAGTAAGGACAATTCTGATAGTGCCCAAAATATATATATTAAATTATATGAGAGCTGGCTAAATATAATAATGTTATTTTGAGAGTTACATCCTGGAAGATATTAGGGAAAATACATGAGTGCAGGAGTGCAATAAGGAATACTACCATTGCCTTTGGTTCTATTGTGCAAATTGTGTAGATGCAGAAGCATAGAAAGGACTATCTTAAAGTATAGGATGAATGTGTTTGATATACAATCACTCTATCAAGTTTTGATGATTGTTTCCATGAAGAAATATTCTTTGCCTAATATTTTGTTATTAATTATAATTTCAGAGTAATAAAAATCTAAGGTTGTAGATTCATTAATTCATGGTTGCATGTAGTACTTTATCACTGAAAATTAATGTAATTTCACACTATTTCAAATGCAATAGTTTCCATTAGAAACAATTCATTTATGCAGTGCATAGAATCATTAGTAATTCTATATTGCAAAATATTAAGTTGATGCACACTAATTTATGGATATGAGAACAGATAGTTGCATACTTGCAACCAAGTTTTGTTTTAGGTGATAAAATGAAATAGAATATTCATGTTCCTATCTTAAATGGGATGTATTTTACTAAGCACACTTTCAGAAAAGAATCAAGCTTTAACAAAAACAGAAGAAGGCCCAATTGCCTACATGAATGATTGATCACAGTCATTTTTGTGATTTAAAAAAACAGAGGAGCAAATCTTCTTGGCTTTCCATCTCTTTGGGCAGATGTTCAAACTGTTTAGAGTAAAGGGCATGTTTCTCTGAATGAACCAGGTCTTTCTTTGTTGTGAAAATTTTCTGTATTCCATTGGGTTGGCCAGGGGCAGGATTTTTTTTATTTAATTAAAGTGCTGGGCATAAATTCCAGTGATCCAGTGACATGAAGGCAACTTCTTTGATCTATCCCAGGTTGTAAAACATGCTCAGTTCAAAAGCAAATAAGCTACTGAATGTTCAGCCAATTTATGTGGACTAACTTACCTCAGGCAGCTCCAAGAGACTGGAGTGGTTCTTTATGATAGAAATGAATGGAATATTATATAGCTTGGGAAACATGTTTTTAGATCTTTAACAATTTCAGCCTTTCAGAATGCCTTTTTTTTTAAAAAAAATGTATGAATACAGGGTGTGATTGTATATACACAAGTCATAACAGAGTCACGTTGATCCATATAGATATGGTAAACAGTATCTTATTTTAAGTACACACAAGATGCATTATTGGTGAAATGTTTAACCTATGTTCCTACTAAGTTATTAATGAAAAAATCATTTGTTTCAAAAGATCATGACCCACATAGGTTTCACAGGGGTCTCTAATAGCTGTTAACATTCTTAAAATTTGGAAGGACCAAAGAATCACTTACATAAAAAGGTCACTCAATGCTATTTTTCTTTAAGTTTAAAAACTCACTATTCAGTTTCCAAAGAGCATTACTGAAAGGTAAAGTAAAAAGTAAAGTTTTCCCCTGTCCAGTCGTGTCCAGCTCTGTGGGGAAGTACTCATCTCTGTTTCTTAGCTGAGAGAGCCAGCATTGTCCAATGGTCATGTGGCCAGAATGACTGTATGCAGAGATGCACGGAATGCAGTATCTTCCCATTGAAGTTTACCTACTCACATTTGCCTGCTTTCGAATTGCTAAACGGTCAGGAACTGGGTCAAGTAAAAGGTGCTCAAACCCAGATTTCCAACTGACAAACTCAGCATCTTTAACCACCACACCCCTATTGAAAAGTAGGATAAAAATAATTATGATTCAAAATATACTTAAGGGATCTTGATAGGAAATCTAGATTTGTCCTTGTAATGTGGGATCTCCTCATGTCTCTAGGGCAATTGATCACTGATAGTTGTCACAATGAATTCTGGAAAGGATCCCTGAAATTAAAAAAAAAAAAAAAAACACCTTACAGGTCTTTTCAGCTGGACATTTTTTCCTGTATTATCATTATAGGTAGTCCTCAACCTGCAACTATTTGTTTAGTGACTATTCAGTATTCCAGCCACAATGAAAAAGTGACTTATAACCAGTTTTTACACTTATACTTTGTAGCATCCCCATGGTCATGTGATCAATATTTGGGCACTTGGCAACTGGCATGTATTTATGTCAGTTGTACTGTCCCGGGATCATGTGATCACCTTTTAATCTTCCCAGCTGGCTTCCAATAAACAAAGTCAATGTGCAAAGCTGGATTCGTTTAACAACCACATGTTTCATTTAATGACTGCAGTGATTCACTTAACAACTGTGGCAAAAAAGTTGTGAAATGGGGCACAATTCACTCAACAACTGTGTTGCTTAACAGTAGAAATGTTGGGCTCAGCCATGATCTAAATCAAGACTTCTCAGCTGTCTTTGTTGTATTTGTATTTAAATGGTATTTGTGTTTATTTACTTGTTTTGTATATGTAACATATAAACTTTGAGAGAATTATTAATCTGTCAAAGAACATAAAAACGTGTAATAAAAATATAGTTTAGTGGAGTGCTTCATATAAAAATGCTGTATCTGATCATATCTGTGAATCTCTCAACAGGTTGAGTGGCTGAAAAATGAAGAGGTGATAGATCCTGTTGAAGACCGAAATTTTTATATCACTATTGACCACAACCTGATCATAAAGCAAGCACGTCTCTCTGATACAGCCAATTATACTTGTGTTGCCAAAAATATTGTGGCAAAAAGGAAGAGCACCACTGCTGCTGTCATTGTCTATGGTAAGAGAGTTATCAGGTTACATATTTTGGCTATTTATAGATTTTTGTTTTACATATAAACAAAATTAAATCTGTGCAGGCATGAGAAATGTTGATTTCTAAAGTGGGTTGAATTCTACTTTATTCTGCTCTGTATGTTTAGTTGAAGCCTAGAAACAATGTAGGCAATTTATAATGAAAGTAGAGTATCCTTTGTTTTGTAGTTAATTAAAACATGTTGGGCTGGGGAAAAAAACTCCACAGACTTCTGAGTTTTGTTCCCCTCATTTTACTGGAATGTTAGCCCAAGTTCCATGTCCATGCTTTCAGATTTCATTGTGTTTATGAAAAGATTAAAACTGAGACAGCTTGAATAAGGCAGCCTTACTGTTTTCAATCTGCCTGCAATTAGAACAAGGACACATATTATACTTAGCCTTTGAGATCAGCTTGGCGTCTTTCCTGTTGAATTGGAGGTAGAGTAGGAAAAAAGAGAGAGAGAGAGGTAGCAAAAAGGAGATAAATAACTGCTGCTTGATTGCACTTATTCTCATTTTCTCTGTCCACAAAGAAGATCCAAAGTTCTCAATTTGTTGCAGTACCATTATTCCTACATTTTCCATCACTTTTCATTCAGTTTCATGATAAAGAACAGGCTTTCAAAATTTCTTTCAAAGAACAGAATTTCATCACTAGGTTCTTGCACTTTGTTACAAGAAGAAGTATGTCTTCCGTCTTTCAGTGATCAATTATCTTTCCAGCAGTCCGTAACTGCTGTTTTTTTTTATTATCCATTTTTGAAGTCCAAGCAAGCATAAAAGAAATACATAAGCTTTCCTTTTTTAACAAACAAATGCTTAATTCATAGAAAGGCTTGGAAACTTTAGGCTTAATAAATTGTCAGTTCTTCATCTAAGTCATTTTCCTAACTTCCTCACTTCTCAGTCAATGGTGGATGGTCAACTTGGACAGAGTGGTCAGTATGTAACAGCCGTTGTGGAAAAGGCTCTCAGAAGCGTACAAGAACATGTACCAATCCAGCACCACTGAATGGGGGAACCTTCTGTGAAGGCCAGAATTTACAGAAAATACCTTGTACTACATTATGTCCAGGTATGTTGTATCACTGTGGTGCAATATTATCTAGAATAAGTCTTGTTTTTTTTTTCTTTTCATGGTGGTAGTGTGGGGGATGAAAATGATGACTTCTTACTTTTAATTTTAAAGTAAACTCTATTATGCCATTGAAATACAAATAAGCTGAATAATTAGCACTATTATTATGCAATGTTTGCCTCACATTGCAGTTGTATTTCTGAACACTTACATAATGAGTCAAGATTTAGACCCTTGGGAACCTAGGCCTTGGATCTGTTAAAAATTCTGCATTTAAATAATAACATGTTTTTATGTATTAGTAAGCTTACACATAGGTAAAGATATGATTTTTTTACTAAAAGTAAAAATATTATCTGAAGGAGTTGGATTATTGTATTTATTGTAAACCAGAGGTCCCCAACCGGTGGGCCACAACCCACTACTGGGCCCTGGCCAGCGGGCCATGGAACAGACTGGCCAGGGGGTACACATGTGTGTGCACGCTCACCCCCATTTGCACCATGCAGCAAAAATGGGGTGCTAGTGAGTGTCACGCGGGTGCTAGCACCGCCCCATTTGCATCGTGCGTACTTGTGGCCCCATTTATGTTTGTGCATGCGGGTGTGCATAAAATGCTTTCCCCTCCCTTTCCCTCCAGTTCGCCAACCGAGAAAAGTTGGAGACCTCTTTGATGAACTGCCCAGAGTCACTATGAAGACAGGTGGCATATAAATGCAATAAATACATAAATGAATAAATACATAAAATTATCATGTTATAACTGTTGTAAAATAACAGAATTTTAACATTAAAAACAAAAAATGTGCAAAGTCTCTTAATAATATGTTTCAGAATGTCTTTGGCTGCGATCTTATTCACTAAGATGGCAAAATACACCCTATTCATTTTAGATGGATTAGAAAGTTATTTGAATTCATTCAAAGGACAGAAAGTTCAAATAATGCTCGTGCCTCTCTAGTTCAAAACCTGATTCACTCTTTACACCAACAAAACATTTTCTCTATCACCAGCTATGTTCCTTTATCTATTTGGCAATAGTGATCTAAATAGTATTAATGTAATGGTTGGAGGAAAATCTATTTTGTTGCCCCTTCTTAAATTTCTATTGCTCTTGATATCAATTAAACTTTCCCTTGAAACATTACAAATTCAAGGTTCCATGTTACTGCATGCTTCTCAACATTACAACATTACATTAAAGTAAGGAATAAAATATAGATTTTAAAGGACAAAAGCACATAACAGTGCAAGCAACTTCAGAAATTGTATCTATTATCTGTAAGAATTTGCTGCGGATCTGTTGAATTCTGTCTGAACCTATTATTTTAATAGGGAATATTTTGGGAAATCAATTCAGTAAGCATATATTTATTTTAGGTGTCTGTATCAGATCAGAGGAGAAATATGTGACTGGATGGCATCTCCCTAGCCCAGTGTCAAACCAAACACCATGTTGGGATGTAAGGAGATTGTCTGTTAAGTTTTTATAATATACCAAATGAACAAAGAATTTAAAGTCTTTATTGCATAGAATTCTAGTGACTACCTATCTAACTTCTTCTGAGGGATGCACTTGAAGAAGGACTTTTCAGAATGCTCTTAGAGCAATTTTAAGTAACTTTTTACATATGAAGCAGGTGGAATCAGCAAGACTATGACTCTTGGCTTTTGGAATTCTAAAGAGAAGAATCTTCTTCCTCTCTTATTTTCTCTTGATGTAGGGTTTTGGGAATACAGTAGTGATCTGGGGGGAGGAAAAGCAGAAGCTATCTAACAGCTCTTCTACCCAATTATTCTATTAATCCCTGTGTCATATTTCTTTTTGCTTATAGCTATACTATTCTTCCCTCTTGTTTATCCATGAATTTCCCATGAAAGCTTCTTTCATTGTGTACTACCATGCAGAATCCTAATAGGACAAGAAGGTGGGAATGTCTATGGAGATTCTCAATTATCCAACTCATGGTTGTCCCAAAAGTGCTTTTCCAAAAGACAAGTAGACTTTCTTGTTTTTTTTTCTTTGAAAAAGTTTTCCTTGTTATCCAAGAAGGTTCTTCAGAAGGTGGAGACATTAACATACATTATAGCAGTGGTTCTCAACCTGTGGGTCGGGACCCCATTTAGGGTCGAACGACCATTTCATGGGGGTCGCCAAACAACGCAGTCCGCCATTTTTCCCCCTTTTCCTTAGCTGTGCTACTCCCTTTTATTCTATTGGCTTTTGAAAGCCAATAGAGTAGACTCTCTTGAATAGAGTCTAATTCTATTGGCTTTCAAAAGCCAATAGGAATTGTCCAGGCTGTCTCTGCCCTGCTGAGCCCGCCAAAAGTCCCATTCTGCAAACGGTGCTGCACCAGTTGAGTAGTCCTCGACTTACGACCGGTTGAGTAATCCTCGACCTATGAGCGGTTGGGGGTCGCGGCATTAAAAAGGTTGAGAACCACTGCATTATAGGAAAAGGGTACTGGTGAGATAGTCAGAATTTTTCTTTTCGCCCAGATTAGACAATGGACAATAAATGAATAACTTTAAAATCAACAAACTGATAGCATTTTTTTTTATTTTGTGAAACTTGATAATATTTTTGTTAAAACCTCCATCTCCATATTCTTAAGGTCTGAAATGATCTCCTTTTTCAGTATGAGTTCTACATTGGACATACTGCAGTATGTTGGACTCATAACTTTCTATTTATCACTAGTATCATTTCTTTTTGACCATCATACATGCAGGTTTATACTTGATTTTGCTAAGGGAAACCTCTAGATTTGAACCTGGGAAGGAATATTGCTTCTAGAGTAAAGTATGACTATTGCTGAACAAGAATGGAAGGTATAATTCTTTATTTTAAGAAATGTTATTCCACCATCAATGTTTAATACTGATCATTAGGATTGTTTAATGCAGTATTTTGATTAGAACACAATAATAAACTGCAGGCTTTATATCATGATTTATTTATTTATTTATGAGACTTATATACCGCTTTAAGTGCAAGCACTCTCTAAGTGGTGTACACCAGTAAGCAATGTATATATATATTTACATTGCCCCCAACAATCTGGGTCCTCATTTTACCTACCCCGGAAGGATGGAAGGCTGAGTCAACCTTGAGCCGGTGAGATTTGAACCGCTGACCTGCTGAACACAGTCAGCTAAAGTGGCCTGCAGTACTGCACTCTAACTGCTGTGCCACCTCGGCTCATGTGGAGTAGGTAGAATTACACAAATCTTTGAATCTTTACTGACACAATGGGACATATCTAATTTGCTTACTTAAGAGTATTTCCTGATGTCACAGAAGAAAACAGGTGAATCAAAATTTTCATCCCTACTCACATTTAATGAACTAAAACATCTGCACGGCAATTTATTGGTTGTTATTATCTATGGCAACGTCTCTCAACCTCAACAATTTTAAAATGTGTGAACTTCAACTCCCAGAATTCCTCAGACAGCCAGTTGAAGTACACGCGTTTTAACATTCCTGTTGACATTCCAGAATTTGGATTAGTAAACCTCATATGATCTACTAGTGGCACCATTTCTAATGACAGCATCAGTTCTTCGATTTACTGCATCTCTACTGCTGCTGCATGCTGGAGAAATGCATTAAAGAGAAAACATCAAAGACAGAACATCTTTCAGAACCAAAAAGAAAAATTTGGATCAGTATAGTTCTCCATTTCTGAAGAGTTTTAAACATAAGCTCTACAGCTACCTCTGGTGGATGATTTATTGGTTTTACTGCATATTGCAAAGAGTTGGGCTAGGTGATTCTTATGGTGCTCTGCAGTTCTGTGATTGGCAATAGGATAAAAAGGATTTCATCTTACATAGATTCTATAGTCAGATTTTATCCTAGGAGTTCAACTTTGCATTCAAATAAAGGAAGCTGCTACTTATATACAAATGATCTGACCAGAGTTAAGTTGAAATTTATCACTTTGTCTAGGAAGAGGGAGAGATGAAAGGGAAAGGAAAGGACTTCTATTATCTATATTTTCAATAAGCAAGCTCCTTATAGAATTTCATGTAAAATCATTTTTTTAATCTGAATATTTTCTATTTTTCCCACTCCCACCTCATTTTGTCTTTATATTTTGCCTTTACATTTTTCCATTTTCTTATGACAGTGGATGGGAGGTGGACAGCATGGAGTAAATGGTCCACATGTGGAACAGAATGTACCCACTGGCGCAGGAGGGACTGCACCGCACCAGCACCCAAGAACGGCGGCAGAGACTGTGAGGGCCTTGTCTTGCAGTCCAAGAACTGCACAGATGGGCTGTGTATGCAGAGTAAGTGAAAGTACCCTAATGCTGCTTTGTTGACATTGCCACTTGGGATGGACAGACAGAGAGAAACAGCTTAGTGGTCCAGCCTTCTTTTGATATTCGAAGAAAGAAAGGATTCATGTAAGTCTATATTGGAATGAATTCAAAAGAAATTCCCCACTTTGTAGCCATAGCAGAGGAACAAACTCACCTTTAAAAGGTTTGGCATAGCTTGGCAGAAACAAATCATTGCCTGTGTTCTTCTAATCCCTTTTTGGGTGTGTTTGGATTACAGCTTCCTGCTAAGTTTGAATATGGAAGGAATTGACCTTCAGATGTCCCTCAAAACTCCAACATATTAATATAGTCAATCGTTCATGTTGGGTCATGACATCTAAAGCCCTCCATCTATTGATTTACTCAGCCTGGCATTTAAGCTAGGAGAGATGTTTTTATGAGTAGCAAAATATCCTCTTTATCTTCTAGTTCTTGAGTGTAGCTGGCACCTGACAAAAAAGTCCTGAGGTATTGTGAATAGAGGTCTCTGTTGGCTTTGCATGTGTTCATTCATAAGTCCATGTTATCATTTTTCTCATTGCTCTGCTCCATATTTTAATAACAAAGGAAAACATAAACCTTTCTGATACTGCAGTCCTGTTGCAAATCTGTTCAGTAGTAAATGCAGTTTCATTGTGAGGATGAATTGTACATATTTAGCACTTTTATCCTTCACTACATATTTTATATACACTTTAAATAGTTGGGGCAGGGTGATAGCAAGTGCAATATCCCAGAATGTCCAAGAATTATGAAATGTATAGTATCTAATGCACCCATTAGTTTGTGATGGAAATCAGGATAACAACTCCTTTAGATGGAAAAGATACCAAATTTCACTGAAAAAGAGCTAGTTTCTGCTTAAACATATAGGTGCATATGGATTTTTTAAGATCACAATTATGTTACTAAAGTCGTTAAGTTTTTTTTAATTAGTTGCATCTTTACATACAATACTAGAGAATCAACAATGGTAAACATAGAATTTGAAAACATGTATATAGTTGTATTTGGTGATTCTATGCACTTCCCTGAAAAGTACTTGAATAAAATTGTATTTATTTTACTCGTTAATGATATTTGCAGAGAGATTAAAAACATAAAACTCAATAACAATCAAAATTAAAGACAAAAGAAAATAGAGAAAAAAACAAATTTTCTGTAACTTGAAAAACATCATGCAAAGAGCTCACAGCATTCCTTAGACCAGGGGTAGGCAACCTTGGCTCTTTTATGACTCGTGGACTTCAACTCCCAGAATTCCTGAGCCAGCCATGCTGAGGGGAAATGGAGAGGTTTCCAAGCTGAGCCATGCGGGCTCAGGAATTCTGGGAGTTGAAGTCCATGAGTCATAAAAGAGCCAAGGTTGCCTACCCCTGCCTTAGACAAATGCCTGGGACAAGAGTCACTTCTGAAAGAAATCAGAATTAGGACTGTTCAGCTATCTGAGAGTATTCTGTTTCAAAAGGAAATACTGAAGCATGCCATCTCTGAGACCCAAATTGGGATTTGAAGCATGCCATCTCTATCAGATCTTACAGGACAGGCAGAATCATGGGAGAAAGGTGATAACTTTAAATAACAAGGCTGCATACCATGGAGAACTTAATACAGTACATGACAACCAGTATCTTGAATTACATCTAGTTCATGTGCCAAAAGTTTTAGATGGACACACTTTGGCCAGGCTATAAATGTTCATGCCATCACATTTTGCGTCAGCTGAAACTTCTGAGTGGTCTTCAAAAACCATCCCAAGTACAGAATATTTCAGTAACTCAGATGAGAAGTGACTCATGAGAAGGGCCTCCTGATCCAAGAATGGATACAATTGGCATACAAGATGGATTTGTACAAAGGACATAGCTGCCACTTGTTCTTCAAGCAGGAGCTGTGAATCCAAGAAAATCCCCAAACTGCATACAAGTTCTCTCTGGAGAAGGATGAACATTGCCTATAAATAAGTTTTTGGATTCTATTTTAGATTGTGTATATTAATAGTTTGCACAGATGTGAAGGAACAATTATTACTTATTAAGAAACATATCATTGTTTATGTTCTCTTATAGTCTTTAGTCATACAGATCATGAAAGCTTTTGAAATATTACAACAGTGAACACATTTCAGATCCTTCCTTTATACCTTTGCTCCTTTTTTTGTTCAAGGTATTGTAAAGGAAAACCAGTAAAGCTCATAATATTCATTTCAAAGTGTTTTTCTGATGTTGATAGCAATTGTATGTTGCATTTCACCAATATAAAGGAAGGAAAGGAATCTCTAGAAAGATTAGACGATTTTCAAAACTGTCAGACTTTGATAATACTAGATGGAGAAAAAAAAGTCTATTCTGAAATTAACTACCTGATTGTACGCCTTGGAGATAATACAGCAAATTATGCATCACTTCAAAACAGCTAGTCCTCGACTTACAAAAGTTCATTTAGTCCATTCAAAAGTTACAACTTGAATGGACAACAATCAATTCAAAGTTACAGTGGCACTGAAAAAAGTGACTTATGACTGTTCTACACATTTATGACCATTGCAGCATCTTCATGATCACGTGATCAAAATTCAGATGTTTGGCATCTGACTCATATTTATGACAGTTGCCGTGTCCTGGGGTCATGTGATCCCCTTTTGTGACCTTCTGACAAACAAAGTCAATGGGGAAGCCAGATTCACTTAACAACTGCATTACTAACTTAACAACTGCAGTGATTCATTTAACAACTGTGGCAGGAAAGGTCATAAAATGGGGCAAAACTCACTTAACAAATGTCTCACTTAGCAACAAAAATTTTGGGCTCAATTGTGGTTGTAAGTCGAGAACTACCTGGAGGGTGAATAACCTGTTATGATAAATTATGAAGAAAAAATATTCTTTATTTCCAGCAGTTTGTATTTTATACTACCACTTTATATTTAGATAGGATTATGCTGTTCGTGCATGTATGATGAAACAATCTTTTGCACAGAAATTTAGAGTGGAAATATTATAAAGTTCCTCCAGGTACTAATATTATATATTGTACTTTTCTTTAGCAAGGTTATTTATTTATGAGACTTATATACCGCTTTAAGGCAAGCACTCTCTAAGTGGTGTACACCGGTAAGCAATGTATATATATATATATATATATATATATTTACATTGCCCCTAACAATCTGGGTCCTCATTTTACCTACCCCGGAAGAATGGAAGGCTGAGTCAACCTTGAGCCGGTGAGATTTGAACCGCTGACCTGCTGAACACAGTCAGCTAAAGTGGCCTGCAGTACTGCACTCTAACTGCTGCGCCACCTCAGCTCTTGCTAAGTTTAAAGACTTCACTACTTTTAGGAAAGTTTATGATCTATTAAGAAACCTGCGTATGTATACTTAGATTACATTTATCTATTGCATTTCTATACCACCCATATCACTTAAGTGACTCTTGGTGGTTTACAACATAACAAAACATTATAAACCCATGAATAAAAGCATAAATTAAAACAAAATTAAGAAAAAAGTTAAAATAAAAAAATCAGAGTTAAAAAAGAATCACAGGACTAAAAAGTTAACAAGGCAGAGGGAGTGCCCTCAAGCCACCAGCCATCCCCAGGGTGGTATCACTCTCTTAGACCCCCGTGCTAATTAAGCTTTCTTTGCTTGAGTTAATTATGCTCAACTATTTTACAGTTGAGAGGTTTACAGTTGTTCGTTTATAATCCTGAAAAATGAGCCAGCCCAGGGGTGTATACAGACTATAATAAAAATAAGTTAAGATATCATCTCTGCATCCCACATAAAAAAACAAGTGGATCTTCTATTGCAACATTGTAGCTATCATCTTGACTTTTTAATCACTCCTTAATGAGACCTCTAAAAGTTTTGATTTGCCACCCATGTTTCCTCCAGACCATCCACAAACTTTCCCCCTACACTTTTCATATCCACCAATATATTACAGTTTTTTGGCTCCACTAATATTTTTCAAGGCAAGTGGTTAACTAAAGAGGGGCTATTCTTTTCAGCCACAGGGTGCAATTCTGCATAGAGACAAAATAAACACTGCCTTTAATGCCTAGCGTGCTGGGACTTTTTTCCTGAATAAGAAACCAAAAAACCCCATTGAAGCAAATGAAGGCGGTCTTTTCTGCTTGCAGAATAAAGCACCAGCCTACTTAATCTCCTATGGGCTTCCCAAACAAATTTCGCTAAATATTGTACATTAAAAGTAATATGTAATTTGCCACACTGCATGCAATATTATTAGATTAATCAAAGTCAAACTTAAGCTAGGTTATAATCTTGTGCTAAGCAATGGTTTGTGTTATGCCTTAATTCTCACATGTAACAAAAAGCCATACATATCACTGTGACTAGCTGATTGTGAATTTATCTATTTATTATTCCACCTAGTAATTATACTACGGGATACTAAATATGCTACAATTTCTTACAAACAACAATTTTTCACTGGTGGCAATAGCCTTTTAATATCAGTGGTCCATTGATATGATGAAGAACGAAGAATATAAGTGAAACAGGCCTCTCGTACCTTTCTCCCCCTTTCCCTTCAAGAATCTTTCTTACAAGCCCTGTAGTTGGCCATAATGTGATTGTGGTTATTTTTTCCAGTTTTTATGTTGGGCAAAGCAGCAATGGCATGCAGTTGTTAAACTCTCTGCAAGAATGAAAGTTATAACCTTTCATATAATTTATATGAGCAGAACTAGGAATTCAGATTTGTTCGGCAGATCATAAATAGCCAAATGAAACAGATGACATCCAACTCCTATCAAACTTTTAGTCAAATCAAGAGAAAGAATTAGTGCTGCTTTGTTCCTCTAGCTTCATCAGATATCTTTCCTATACCTGCATTTACTGTTCTATTCTTGACTCTGTTGACTAATTCAAACAGACTCCTAAACTGTTCATTTAAGTATGAACTATCTTGTTGCAAAGTTTTAAGTCTTCATCC